ACTTGAAAGGCAGTAGCCCCATTTTATTAATAGCAAGTATTTATTAGCCTCCTTGATTTACAGTATGTTTCTGAAAGTCATCAGTCCATCACATTCTTCAGCACGGGGGCTGAGTTGTTTTTCTTGGTCAACACAATATGGAATATAGATCTGAATATTAGAAGCCAAATACAACCTTCATTTTGCATGCACATAGCCCACCAACGGGAGGCCCGTAAATGAATCCTGTATAGCCCTTAGACACATGCATTTGCAGACATTTGGGGAGAGGTGGGAGCTTCTATACATTGCCACTGGAAACCCGGAGGGTCATGGAAATCGCCAGGGAAGAGCCATCAGGGCTACAGCAACCTCAGAAAGCGTCACGGCGCGCACACCCCAGCCACCAAAAGAGGTGGAAATCCACCTCGTGATCTTGCTTCTGGGTTTTGACATGAAAAGCTATCTGTCCGTCTGTCCATCCATCCGTCTCGCTGCAGTATTTGGTGCTCACACAGCACAGACACCTCCACCCACCCGTTATCATCCCTATTTCCAGATTCGTCCTTTTTTCCCCCCCCTCTCCCTCCCAGCCTTGCCGCGGGGTTTTGCCTGTCCGCACCGCCCCTGCCCATCACCATGGCACGCGAGCGCCCGCCCGCCGGAGCTGCGGCCGAGCCAGCGTTTCCTGGGGATCACATCGTGCTCATTACAGGAGGCCAGATGAAATTAAATTGGGGCCCACTGGTTCTGCCATCTGAACTTCATCACCGCTAAAGACACAATAAAAGTAATAGCAACAACGAACAAGCCTCTACCAGATGTGTAACTCTATCCAGTGAGATTAAGGAATAAGGGCCATATTTTGCACGGGAGGGGGGGTTTGTTGTGTTTCCCCCCCCCCCAGTTCCATCTTTGCTTGGGAATAATTAATTATTTGGACCCCTGTAGAAGATGACTGTTAAAAGGGTGACTTCTGCGGGGAGAGGAGGTTCAGGGGATGTTGGGATGGAGGGGCAACAAGGTTTGATCGACTTGAAGCAGATACAACATACAACTGAGTGATGATGCCTAATCGTGCCCAAAATGGGAAAAACTAAGGGGGGGGAAGCAGAGGATAAAAAAAAGCAGCAAATGAGGCACCACCCTCATTCGGGGAGCTGTTCGGCTCGCTCCTCGATAACAATTTATAGTGCGATCACATGAAATATCATGCCAGAGCAGGGAGCCCTGGAAAGGCAGCTACGTCCGGCGTGTCCTCCACCTCACCCCCAAAAATCTGCAGGTAAAGGCTCGCCCCTGGGTTTCACCGGCATCCAGACAGCTCAAACACACACACAGCAATGGAACAAGCGAGATGCAAAACAAAAGCATGGGGTAAACAGCACAGTTGGTAAAATAACCTCCAGCAGCCCAAGAAGGATGGTGCTTCCCTCCGCCTTCCCCCTGAGTTTGCAGTCGCGTTGCCGCCCACCACCACCACAATGCTCCCGAGCCCCACGCTGCTGCTGGCCCCACGGGTCACTTAGTGGGACCCGACACGAAGCTGGGGTTGAAATGAAATGCAGCGGGGTTGGGAGCGTTGCTTGACATCTCATTCACAGGTTTTTAGATCTGTTTTCAGATCCCTTCTGGAGAGAGCTTTCTCATCTTGTAAAAGCCCACGGCCCAAACACATCGCGAATCCAAAATATATATTATTTTGAAAGCAAAATTTAAGTTAGGTTTCACAGAAGACTTGACCTTTGCTGCATTTTAGTGTCGTGAAAGTGCGCTTAGAAATAAAGTACAGCACAGTCAAATTGCCTTCGAGTTTGAAAGCAGCTTTTTAAACCCAAAAAAATCAAAGCTAAGCTAACTAATTCCCAGGCACCTTGCTCATCTCAGCCCCGCGGACTGGGAAAGAAAGAGCTTTTCTTTTGCTTATTAAAAACTCCAAAACTTTAGGAGCTTTGGTTTTTTATAAAGACCAAACGTACTTAGTTTTTTTTTTGACTCTGATGTGCGGACTGATACATTGGGAATACGCTTAAATACAAAATCCCTAGGAATATCGCCCCTCTTGCACTGAGAACAGAGCAGCCTCCAGCTTTGAGGCTAACAGGTTTCCAGCTCTCCCCTCGCAGGAAACCCTCGACTCCCGTTAATTGGCAGAAACTCGTTAAGCCCCTGTAACGCGATCACCGGCGATCCTCCAAGCACCCAGATACAGCAGAGGGCTTTGCAGCAGCCAAGTCCCAGCCGGACAAAAGAGGATCCTAACAATACCCCTAATTAAAGCACGCAGCGGCCCAGGTCACGCAAGGCGGTGGAAACCCTCGAAGCTCCACCAAAAACTTGTGCTGGGGCAGCCCTGTTGTTTTGCAAGAGCCACGTGGACCCCGGAGCCTGTGAGCAGGATCAGGCCCTGCAGCTGGGGAGAGGAGCCCCCAGCGCAGCCCTAACGCTGACAAGAGGCTCGCAGCACAGTCATTACACGTATTGGTAACTTTAAGGCAACACATCAATTCTGCAGATGTTTTAAAGTCCTAAGAGTTGGGGAGGGTTTACACCTGTATTAAAAAATATACATTTTTAAGGACGATTTCACTTTACCTTCAACGCTTCATGAAAGGACAGGTATAACTTTTCCCCTCTGTTGCTTGGCAGAGCACATTTAGCTGTCACTGCTTTGTTATTTTCTGTTTTTCCTGGGAGAAACAACCGGCCTTGCACCGGCTGCTGGAGGAGAGACGGGCCACGGCCGGAGAAAGCAGAGCACATCGCGCTTCTCCCACCAGGCAGAGCGTCAAAAGCACGACCAGCTGCCCCAGAAGCCATCTATGCACCGAGCTCTGCCTGCGCTCAGACAAAGCAAGGGTAAAGACACCCCCAAAGCCAGCCAGCGCGCTGAAAAACCCCTATAAAGCAGCTTCCCAGCTGCCCTTTATTATAAGCATTACAGGCCTGCTGTAGATATGTGCCAGGTGATCCCTGGTTTGCAATTTGGAGGAGAGAGCAGAGCAACCCCCTTTGCAAGTAATAATTCCGTTAGCCCTGATCTGACACAGCTGCCTGGTGCAGAGAGACCCCAGGGCAGGCGCGGGGGTGCCAGCAGCTAATGGGAGCTGCTAACTCCTTACCAACGGTGTGGTTGCAATCAATAGGAAGCTTAACGCAACAGGGTTCGCTCTTCCAAGGCTCAAAAAAAACCCCTTATAAGCAGACACAGAGGTGGTAGCACAGGCTGGGATAGGAAGAACCTTTCAAAGACATCTCCAAATGATAAAAAAAGCTTCGGGTGTGTGCAGGCTTTCGGGTAATTCGACCTCAAAGACCAAATTGCCTTAAAAGAAGCAGCAATAGCTCCCTTTGGGTCAAACCGTGCCTATACACCAAGTCCCCCACGGCTCCCGGCTTGACCCTACGGCCGTGTGTGGAGATGCTTCTGCCGCCCGCCCCGGCCCCTTGCTGAGCTCTAAGGTACAAAAGTGTCTGTGCTTGTGCTATGCCCCAGCTGACGTGAGAACTACAGCCCGGGTTTTTAAAAAACAAAAGAGCAACCACCACCCATTGAAAAGGCAACATCGTTTTCCCTATGGCCATTTCGCCAGGAGAGAGTCACCCCGGCCGGGTGTCTCGGCTCAGATTTTAAGAAAGGAGATGAATAAAACCAGAAGTGAGAATGAAGTTAATACACGAAGCAAATAAATCAGCTGGCCCCTGCCCCGCGGCTCGGCTCCGTCCCACCACGACTGGCAGCGGGTGTCCTGGCAGCCTGACGTGGCCAGCCAGCGACTCAGCTCGCTACCCAGCTGGTTTCTTTCACCAAATAAGGTCCATTCCCGCTCGCCAGCACGAGTAGCTACAGCCTATAAATCCCATCGGAGACAGCACACAAGCACGCACGTAACCCATCTTCTGTTCCGCAAAGCGCTTGGGCCCCGAACCAGCAAACTCCTTGGGCGGGTGCTCAGCTCCGAGCAAGGGACAAGTGTCACTGGCAAGCGGGAAAGCTGTGCAAGGGCTGGAGCGCTCGGTGGGGTACACCGGGACACCAACCTGACAGCAGCTCCCCCCGGGTACCCCGGCTCGGGGCAGGGCTCTGCATCCCCTGCTACTGACAGCGTCTCCTCAGCAAGACTATTGCTCCTCCCGAAACCCGCCAGCTGGCCTCCCTTCTCCTTGGATGGACGCTAAGGGACGTTACAGATCCCACCAGCCCCAAAAGTACGTAGTTTAACAGCAGAAATGCAATACGACAGCCGGCATTCATTCAAGAGGAGGCGGGCGATGGACAAGAGCTGGGAGACACCCCCCCTGCTTCAGCATCACCGAACGCCAATGGGGGTTCGCCCCGAGTTGGGGTGCCGCGGCCGTAAGCCTGACGCCCGGGCTAGCTCTGCGGGAAACGTCTGCCTGCCGGGGCCGTGCACACCCTCGCGCGGACACCAGCCCCGGCTTTCTCTTTGTAAACTCAGCACTCGGTTTTCTGCAGCCGATACGGTAATACAAAGTCATACCGGCCGCCTGGCCCTTGTTAGCATTAAAAATTAAAGACAGAGCAAACAAAACCTAAAGCTCCAACATTTATTATGGCAATTTCCCACCCACCCACAGACCTACACTGTGTTTTATTTTATTTTTAATTTGTCACGTCAGATGCGCCTTCCGAGAAATGGCACGTCGTGGAGATAACCAACAGGCCGGGTTGTCCACGAGAGCAAGACAGTCTTTTCCGCGGGGAAAGGAGCCGGTCGAAGCCATCAATAAGCCCTTGACCTTGGTGGGTGGGTTTGCTTTTTTTGTTTTTAGAAAATAAAAAAAAGAAACAAACAAACAAAAAAAACCAACCCCAAAGAAGTGGTGTACTCTATTACAAAATATAAATACGATAGTCTTGCAGGCAGGAGGAGCCCGGGGAGCGCTGCCTTCGGCGGGTGACTTCTCAGGCTCTCCCGGGGACGCGGCGAGCCAGCAC